TTTTGGAACATTAGATGCTTTGCAACAACGTCTTCAAAGTGCGAATATTGAAATGGCTCCAAATCCTTAGTTCTAGTATTAAAAAAAATTTACTGCTTAACATCGCTTAGAGATATTGTGCCTATTAGTGATGTAAAAGGAGATTTAAAGTAGCATTGCAGCGTTTTGACATTGACATTTTGCGCAGTTCTAGTAAACAGTTTTCGATTAACGCCTGTTATGGATGGAACGTTACAGTTTCTAGCCTACTGAATGAAGTCGTGGCCATTGGCGGACTTGGAGGAAGCTTGTTTCCAAGTGTGGATTGTACAAGGATTAGACAGGTCTTATATTTCCGACTGTAAGCGGTCGGAAGAAGAAGCGGATCGTAGACACTAGCTAACTTGTATTATGGGCTCTCATTTAGAAATGATATGAAGTTTGTTGAAGTTGTTAGTGGTAGTTGTACCAATCTAGCTAAGTACGGTACACATTTTTGCTCGAAATATACGTATGTTTTTCATATAAAAATTCCCCTTACTTTTTGAACACAATTATATATGCTTTCGACTTAATGTAATTTTAAATTGAAATTTCCTCTAAGCTCGTCTTCATACTATTCACTTCGCGTTCGATCTTATTATTATTATCATTTCTGCACCATTAGATTAGTAAAATCGTTTCTTGGACAATTTCTTAAGAGATGAAAATCAGAGAACTTCAATTTCAAATTATTTAGCTTTTCCAACATTAATCATATCGATCGATAATCGGTAACGGTGTTGTGTATATGATGAAATTCTATATTAATATTGAAATTTATTTAAACGAAAAAATGTTGCGTTCCTTTAAAAAGTCCAATGCGAATAACGATGTAAGTTGTATGTAAGCCTCAACGGTAGCTATAAATAAAAATGGAAATTGAAAAAAAGAAAAAAAAAAACCCATTACCGCAAAAGATAAAAATCTCAAGAGTTTATTTGCAACAAAATATAAAATAACAAAAATAATAATAGAAAATCAAAAGTAAATATTTGCGCGCACATATGCATGTATAACACATATTAACCCAATACGCAGTGTATATATAATATTCTGATCATTGCTTTGTTGAGATGTTAGATAATGGCACGTACCGCAATTTACTCTAAATATACAATGCAATACAATAACTGCATTATATATATATATATATATATATAAGTATATATATATATATCAAGCAAATAAAAACGAAACATCAACTGTGTATGTATTTTGATCTTGACGCCACATATAAACACACATGTGGAGAGTTACACAACAAAAATGTGGGAATCGGCACAGCTGGACATAAACCACACATCATCCGCAATAGTGTAGCAAACTACTGTGCAATGTGTTGGCTGACTAAGTAAGTGAGCGAATGAGTGAATGACTGAGGTGAGAGTGATTTATATCGCCGTAAAATTGTTTAAGGAACCCAGAAAACAAATGAAATAGACACATACGCACACATAGCCAGCCATATTCACCATATAAAAACATTTACAATTAACACACACAAGTCATAAATGAGAGAATGAGGAACAAATCCGACAGTCTGGGTGACCTTAAGGAAACGTTCCTATCATACAATATATATATATATATATATATATATATATATATATGTATGTGCATGACGGGGAGTTTTCATAAGATGAGATTGAGATAAATGCGTGACTTGGTGTAAGGCACGCGTTTTACATGACAATTTCACAAAGTTAAAATTTTATATTCATTCGTTGTGTTATCGTTACCGTTACCGTTGCCGTTGCTTTAATACTAAACATAAGGGCCTACTATGTCATTTCATATACGGTGGCATATTTCTATTCATTACACAATTATATCAAATACTGGTGATCTGCAGAGAGTCCACCAACATGAGCACCACTGTACCGCACCACCATTACTAATATTAAGCCCACGTTTGTTCATTTCTTTTTTTTATTTTTATTTTTCTGTTTCTATATTTTTTGCTATGAAAAATGACATGAAACTGATATTGTATGTTTATCAGAAAGATTATAAGGGCTTGCATCAGGCGACATAATAGCACCCTTTCATGCGAAAGGAAGGATACATGATTATAGTGCTGCAAGTCTGACACCGTCCGTGTCCGTGTTTGTGTTTCAACAATCAAGCGGGGATTTTCATTAATTGCCTACAAATGCGCATGTGCTCAAGCAACTAAACATTATGAAACCACCACAACATCAAGCACTCCCAAGCAAACAAAAGCATAATATAATGTAACTTTTCTATGCACATGTGTTTTCATTTGTTATTAAAATGTGTGTTAATATCATTAGACCGACACAATAAACAATATAACGATTGTGACTACAAAAATAAAATAAACAAAAACAGCAACAATAAGTAAAATCAACACATCATCACAGCAAATATTTGACAATATCACAGTTTATTGTATAATGTCAGTCAGTCAGTTAGACTACTGGCAGCCGTTACCGGCTCAATTTAATCCTAATCCCTGCATATAAACGAGCAATTGATCGCATGCTATGTACGCTCATGTATGCAATTATTTCAATGACGACGACAACTTGATTACGGTATATAAGATTAGATCATCAACACATCGTAAATGCATATTTCATGTAGTTTATGGCGGCTAATAATTATGACAATTGTGAATAAACTCTACTGGAAGGATAATAAACAACAATGTTTGCTAATTTATTTTATATTAAATTTTGTGTTTTTCCTTTTTTTCGTTTTTTTAAATTTTAAAACGAAAAAAATTGAATGAAAAGACCATAACAGCTTTTAATAAACGCTGAGCCATCAAATGTGTTTATTATATTTGGCTCGTGGTTAATTCGAAAACTGTGGGATTTTCAATTACTCGTTAGAGACTTTAATCAAATAAATGAACAAGGGGTTGTGGATTTGAGTGCAGAACACTTCACAGAAATAATAGAAAATTTACGAAACAGACAGAATTGTCTAACGGTAACGAGTTCCGCCCGATATCAAACTTCATAATTTTTGATCAGCATCCAATTTTGAATCGATTTGAGCATATCTGTCTGTCCGTTTGCTGTACACATTCTCCTAGGCGTAAGAATGAAGCTACCGGCTTTAAAAGTATCGCATTGGACGTCCCTCCAAGGACGCTGATATTAAAAATTAGCTAAATCTATTGAAGTACACGCCTACAGTACTACGTAAACTGAGAATACCTTTGTTTTCAGAGCGAAAAATAATTGGCCTTGTGGTCATTGCTCAGAAATCGCGCCAGATGACCCAGACCATTGTGAAGGGACTTCGACATGAGCTCAATCTGTACTTCCGAAGATGAAGTGCAATTTCTTATAGACAAAAATATTTTGTTAGTGCGCCGTTCACGCCGGTGATTTCATTGTGAAATCCTTGTTTTCGGCAAAAGAAACCGAGTTGTGACAATCGATGGATTGGCTACTGGATTAAGACATCCGTTTATTTTGTATAAAAAAGTTGGTCTTATAAGGCGAGCAGAACAGAGTTTTTGAAAAAATAATTTCAAAATACCCGACCTCAACGGTAAGTTCGACAAATAATATACAAAAAAATTTTACCTTAAAGGCTTTTTGATTATTACTGTTTTCTCCATAAGTCCATAAACTTTCTCGGATTTTTCATTATTAATCTGATGAACTAATTTCATCTTTATACGCGTGAGTGCCAAGTCACTAGACTAGCGCTATATGTGCTAGTCTGTCCGTCCGCCATTTGTTATTAAAGTCGCAAAAATGCGAAAGAGAGAAGTCCAAAGCTAGCATATGTGTTTATTAAAGAACTTGCTGGAACCCCAAACATCGAGCAATACTTTTTTTATGATAAAATGCTGAACACGTTAACAAAATGTTAAGGGTTTCTATATACTTAGGCTTGAAGTCTTCACAAAATTAAGCTTATAGAAAATCAAACCATGATTTCTTCGTTTTATTCAACCAGTTCATGGTCATATGGTACGCAGAACAGAACAGGATTAGGCCTTTCATAGAGATCAAAGGTGGCATAACAATTTCCTTCAGTCCATCTATATTTCTATGTAGAAATATTAGAACAAACTCATGATACTTTTCCGTTCAATAAAAAATCTCTTAGACTACCTAAGATGTTTATTAGATTTCGAAGCATTCTTACTTATTTTCAGCCTAGTTTATCGGCATACTTGCGTGGGTTTTTTTTGATGCGAAGATCACTGATGAATAAATGAAGTTTGAAGTATTTAAAACGAGTAAAAAAGGGATGATACACCGTTTTCTTTAATACGGTTAGTCATATAACGACTGAACACAAGAAACCAAACCATACAGACAGACAGACAATGTTAGATCAATGTAAGAAGGGATTCCGAATCGACCGGTAAAATAAAAAATGGGTCTATCTCAAGTCCTTCGGGGTGTTGCATACAGCCGCACATACTTGATATAACTTTACACTACAAGCGATGTAGGGTATAAAAACGCCATCGCAAAACTATAGAATCTGACACTTAGAGTATAGCGCAAGGAAGAGAGAGATGTCTGAATATGTAGAACAGAAGAAAAACAAGGCAATGAAAAGAAAAGTGAAATCCAGTCTCACATGTAGACGTTTATTTGAATATGAATAAAAATTCTGAGTGTGTGAGTATCTGTGCTTAGGTATGTTCGCCTTCCTTGTATTGAAAGTAACCGCTGCAAGCAAATATTTTCCCAAGAATAAAAACGCACTAAAACCTTATGTGTACCTTTCGTTCAAATGTGTAACATCTGGTCGGCGTGCATGTGCTTGTACCTTATGGATTCATGTTCAGAGCAACTTGTTTAATTATTTTTTACATTTTAAATTATGTAAATTGTACTAATTTTGTAACGTATTTCTTTGCTTTGTCGTGTTTTCTTTTACCGATAGTAACAACTTCAAGTCATGCTTAGGTGAACACGAGCAGAGTAATTTTGAAGGACATATGTCATCCTTATAAAAAGTATTTCACCATTTCTTACCATTATCACCGCGTTTACTTTTATCGTTTATGCCATGGCTTGAGGAACCACCCGCCAATCCTTTAAATGGAGAGGTTCCAGGAGGAGGAGGATTATCACTATCTTGTTGATGCTGATCGTGTAACTGATGCTCGTGGGGAGTTTTGGGTCGACAATCAACAATGATTTCTTCACCAAGTGCTATATCACGATTTGCTTCATACCACAGCTAAAAATAGTAATCCGAAGATAAAGGTAAGATTTGAAAAAAGAAAGAAGAATTCTTTCACAATTCTACGACAACTTACACATCCTCCTATAAAATAACTCTTTAAATTAGTTTCCTTTTCCCCATCGACCGTCGCTGCAGAACGTATTTTCTTTAGCAGGTTTAATACCTCTGTTGAAGGTTTTAATAAGTTCCGTAAGTGAGGTGGCATTGTAATAATCTGAAAAAAATCCCAAAAAAGTTTATTAACAAAACGTAACTTTGTGTATGTATCATTCTATGATTTCGTGTTGTCGGATATCCTCTAATAATCATAGCTGTTGATAAGTGGAAATTTTTCTCTTAGAGAAATTGTTATCTTAAACATACACGCTTTGCTTTTCAATATAAATTTTCTCATTTGGGTTGACGCGACTGTCATCCACATCATCCGATAGAAGGTTGCAATATCAGATCATTTGCGATCAAGAAGAAGAGAAAGAAGAAGACATAAACGATACTGGTGCAGACGAAGAAACCATATCAACTAGATCGCATTGAACGTGCTCACTTAAACCGGAACAAGTCGAGAGTAATGCATAAGTCGTCTAAGTTGAAGCAGAAGTCCATCAACAAATTATTTTCATCCTAAATATTCTAATTTTGTATTGCTTTCTTCTTTCGCTCTTTGTTATGCAACTATGTAATAAATACACGTATTTTGAAATCTAGTTCCCTCGTAAGGGTCGCCCTAAGGCAAATAATAAATCTAGGTAAAGTCGATTTTGCGAATTTATCCACAAGGAGCTCTTTCTACGAAGTCAAATAGTTAATCAAGTTTATTGCCTATGATTTCACATTAAACAAAACAACTTAGGGCAGAAGGCATTCTTTAATGGCTCGCTGACTACTTTCAAAGGGAAAATCGCGTATCAGAAAGGCGTAGAAGAAATTTCTTTAAATACGATTAATTATATTATATTTAAATGATTACGAAAATATTTTGCCCGACTTTGCAACTTCCCTTATACTTTGAACAAGGTGGTATCTTAGATTCACCTCAAGGTCATATAACGATAAGAACACAAATGGGGAAAGTAAATGTAGACCACGAATTTCTCCATATTAAGATAAACAGTTAAGTTAATAAACCAGTCAAGTTGGTGTTTACATAAACAAAATGTTCAGTTTAAAGACTAGAAGCAAAAAGATGAAGAATTAACTGGTAAAGGTGTACAATTTTCACAAGATATTCTATGCAAATTGCTGACTCAAAAAGAAAAATGCACAATTTTCGTTCCTTAGTGTGTGCTCCAAACATTATCAAGCATTCCGCGAGATATTTCGCGGTCAAGCACAAAAACAACTCCAGTTCAAATAGAAAAATTATTAAATTTAAGTTGCGCTATGGTGAAACTATCCTGAACAAGTAAGATCGCTATAATCGGGCAAGACCAACCATTAAGCGACACACACCATTTCGTTCAATATAATTCTTCATTTGTTGTCGTGGTAATATACCAAAAATTATGCCATCTTTACTAGGGCAGTGTTTATGTGGAAGAGGACTCAAAACCTGAACTAATGTGATTAGGACAAAATAACTTTTCCTTCCAAAGATCTTGCTATTCACCTAAAGATTGAACTTTGCTGCCATGCAAACGCTTACTTCTCCCAATAACACTTATATGTGGTGCGGTCCAAACAATATTTTGGTGTAATTAAGTTTTATGTCAAATTATATTAGAACAGACAACAATTTTAGTTATATAATACTAAGAAATTGATCATATTATCAAATAAAGGCTCACTTTTTGCTGCAACAGCTAAGTAGTAGAGTGTTCAAGAAATTCTTTATTACCATTTTAGTATTCCAAAACAGTAGGAAGTTTTGTCGAGAAATTTTGAAATTTGCAATCAATTTTCAAGGGCTCTCGGCGTTGCGTCAAAACACTTATTTGTATAAAGAATTTCGCCAAAATATTTTAAAACGATGCCACTTGTGGGTTGAACTCAATAATATCGAATCTTCTTAAGTTATACGTTCCCACGAACTTAATAAATTGTAAACCGGCAAAAAGCGTCAGCAGTAGGAAAAGTCAAGGGAAGTCTACACAAAAGCTAACTAAAATTCCAAGAGAATATAAGATAGAGGGCACGAAGTTGGTTCTCAAAGCTTAGCAGGGTATATCGCTGAAATCACTAAAAAGTATATTCATCCGCCAATATTACGCTGCATTAGCCGTATCACTTATAACCTCAACGGCCAAATATGTTTTTTGCTCTTCCTCAGCTTTTTGAACAATCATCGCCTTGAACGTAATACATAAATAAATATTCACCAGCAATTTAATCCTGTTTTGATTCTAGCGTAATTTTGCTGTTTTCACTTAAAAACGCCAGGACCTTATGTTAATAAAACTGTTTACATTATGACTTTTGCTCTCTCGAAATATGAAAAGAAAAGAAAGTGCAAATGTTACCCGTCAACCTAAGCAAAAAAATTAATGCAGACATTTTATTAACATTAGCAACATTTTAAATGAATTCATTTAACTTAAAGATGCAGATAAGATCTCTTTTGTATTAGCCGTAAGAGGTTTGCAAATAATTTTTGCATTCTTTTAAGTGTTTTGGCGTCCTCTAGTGTTCAGTGGAAGCAAAACGCTATTAACAGTAGTTCTGAAGTAACATAGCGGTGCAAAACTTAACTGTAACAGTGCACTGTTAGGTTTTACAATGCAAACGAAGACAATACAAACAATTATATAAATTTAACAGAAGAGTAATTCTTTCGCATTTTCTTGCATGAAACTAACTGCGCGGGAATATAAGGGAAAGTTTTGCAAGCAATTGTCGCAGGGCTTTGCAACGAAATTTTTGAAGGAAATTTCAAATTTTTAAAGGAAATGTCGTTGCTAGAAGTTCGATTCGTTGCGCAAATTCATTTTTATTATTTCTATAAATATTCAGCTTTGTTGTCCATAGTTATTTTCCTATTCCCTGCAATTTCCTATTTCCTATTGTCCCATTGTTAACCAGCTGTCACGATCCAGCAAAAGCGGTCTTTAAATTAAGCAGAAAAAGTCACGTTTCACGCAAATGACTTCTTTTGTCATAGAATTCAACCTATTCAAACTGAACTAAAGTCAAGTGCCCACTTCAAAGGGATAACTTCTTCTAAAGCTTAAAGGTAGTTCCTCCATGTGTAGGAGCTACAGTTCTCTTTTCAACCTCTTCATATTGCTAGTTAAACTATTCCTTAGAAAGCAAGGGCAAATTGTTCAACTTTCCAATCGCATTGATTGAAAGCATGACACGATACCCGTTTTTCTTTTTTTTATGTATCAGTTGGTTTACATGATTGTATGTTGTTCGCTATATTCAATCACTCACAATTGCAGTCCTGCGAGGTGGTTACTGTTTCGGGCTTTGGCTTAAAATGTTGAAAAAGAGCGCAGACTGTCACATATAGAAAATATATTGAAAAGTATTGTCGTCAATTAATCATATCATCGGACTTTGAATGAGAAAAAAGAAAACTCAAGTGTTTATAAAAATTAAATAAAATTCTGTTCACTTTTTGTTTAACGAAAGACGATTTTATATACGTGTGGCACAATTTATTTACAAGAGCCCACTCAACGCAACCACACCACACATTTTTAACAAATTTCAACGCTGGGCATGGACGCCGCAGTAAAAACTACGGTTTTAATAAAAAACAAATGCGTTTAAGAGCAATTATAAGAAAGAGATTTTTGCTGTTATTCTTCTTTTTAGATTTTTCTCATGTATAAAATCTGTTTTTATTGCGATTTGTTTTTTTTTGTATATACAAAAAAAAAAAGATTTTGCTTCAATAATTCAATTTCTGGAGCGTGCATATGTACACGGAACACTTAATATAAGAACAGTGCATAGAACACAGTACCAACCTATATGGCGAGAGAAAGAGAGACAGCGAGAAAGCTGAAATATTATTATAGCAACAACAACAGCGGGATATTTAATTTATTTAAAAAAAGGAGAAAAAAAAAAAAAAACAGCAGCAGCAAAAAGCAAAATTCATCATCATTCTTCACCTTTTAACTCGGTAATAATAACAGAAAAACCGACGTTTTTCCAAATGACTTGTTAGATAAGTGTTACAGCGGTAACAGAGCAAAGTAGAAGAAGTATGAGAGTGCGTGCGTTTATGCATCTATGCATTTAGATGTGTGCGTATATGTATGTACATGTTTTTGAATGAAGTGGTAATATACGTACATGTATTAAAGCAAATGTGAATGTTTCGTATGCATATAAAGTCACTCTCTTCAATGGTCACTGAGGCTTATAAATGAATGACTGAATAAATGAATGAATGAATGAATGAATGAATGAAGAAGACTACCTAGAAAATGAAGTTTCAAGCCTTTTTAGCTTTGCAGTTTATGTATTTATTTATTTAGTTTTTTTTTTTCTTTTGATTTTTTACTGATTGTAAAGGATTTTCTGTTATTATTTTACACTCCAGTTAATATAAACGAGACGAGACGTCTTCTTCAATTCATCACAAGCTTATTAACAGCACATACATTAAACAAATTCAAGCACATTACGTTAGCAGCAACTACTACCACTACTACTACCCTTGACAATTTACGGGTTAATTGTTCTCTTAAAAAAAAAACGAAAAAGAGAAGAAAACCTTTTAAAAATTCATCCAAAGCTAATGAATTGCATACACAAACCCAGCGGTTCTTCGCCTCCTGCCTTCGTACTTGTAGTGGCCATAAAAGACAACCGAAATTCAAGATAAGCAAAAAAAAAAAAAGAAAAATTGTTTTTATTTGTCAATTTACACGAAACATATCCCTCATGTACATATATGCAGGGATTTCATCGAAAACATTTTTAAATTCCTCTTATTAGCTAACTGTAAAATCGTTAGAGTCAAGTAAAGGAGTTATCTTTAGTAATCACATTCTACTCCCTAGAGTTATTTCAAACAAATTTTTTCCCTTTAATTTTTTCTTAGCTCGTACTATTGGGTTGTAAATCCTTACCTTATTTGGCCCTTGCAATAGCATTCTTTGTCTTTTATTCCTTAATTGTTGTTGTAATTCTTCTTCTCATGAATTATTGCATGTTTTTTTCTTCTATTTGTCGCTTCTTTGTATTTTAATATCTTACACGCATTTGTGGCTTCTATGTATTTAATTGTTCGTGTCATTTTTAACAAGATATTGTCGTAGA